GTGGTAGTAGTAGTAGTAGTAGTAGTAGTAGTAGCAGCAGCAGCAGCAGCAGCAGCAGCCTTCCTGTTCTTGAGTCTGTCCAACGTAAAAAGATGATGGGCAGGAGGAAGAGGAGGAGGAGGAGGAGGAGGAGGAGGAGGAGGGGGAGGAGGAGAAGGAGGAGGAGGAGGAGGAGGAAGAGGAGAAGGTGCAGGAGGAGGACTCGCTTGCGATCTCTAGGGTCCCCCCCCGCAGCGGCCCTTTGGGCGGCAAGCGGGCTTGTTTCCCTTGAGCCGGGGGGCGCCGGCCTGTCCCGCCGACTCGTGGCCGCGGCGTCACCTGCGTGCACGCGCGAGCATGGCGAGGCGGAGCTTTTTCCGATGGCGCTCGGGGCAACCGCCCTCGTGTGGTTGCAAGTGTTGACGGGGAGAATCGAGGATCGAGGTTTTGGTATTTTTCTGTGTTAGATCTTTTTGAAGAGGAGGAGGAAGTGGAGGAGGAGCAGCAGGAGGAGGAGGATGAGGAGGAGTGTCGTGGGCGAGGGCAGCGAATGAGAGAAGGAAGAGGGGAGGGGTTGAGTAAGGCGATGCTGGTGCTGGTGCTGGTGGTGGTAGTTACGATGGTGATAATGCTGATGATGATGCTGCTGCTGATGATTGTGATAATGATGATGATGATGATGATGATGATGATGATGATGATGATGATGATGATGATGATGATGATGATGATGATGCTGATGATGATGATGATGATGATGCTGCTGATGCTGCTGCTGATGATGATGGTGACGATGATGATGATGCTGATGATGCTGATGATGATGATGATGATGATGGTGAAGTTGGTGGTCATGCTAATTCTGCTATTCACGATTGCAGCGCCGACGATGGTGATGAAAATGCTGGTGATGGTGACGACGATGACGATGGTGGTGATGGTGATAATAACGGTGATGATTACGACGATAGCGATCGCACCGCATCGACGTGGGCCGTCAACGACCAGGATGCGGTACGTTTTAGTGCTGCCCTGGATCCTGACCCCCGAAGGTCCTGGAAGTCTTCGGCGGACTTCGGAAATCCAGAGGCCTCCGAATGCCCTCGGAGGCCTCCAGAGGCTTTCGGAAGCAGAATTTTTTGAGATATGCATGCCAACTTTGCTGAAAGACTGGGTAACCCGCCTGCTCGATACTCGAGGAACTAGGACAAGACTTTGCACGATCTTTGTAGGCCCCTGGAGGTCCTGGTAGACCCTAGGAGGCCTCCAGCGGCAGCTGGCGACAGAAACATCGAATCAAGCAGCTTCTTCAAACGCCAGAAGACCCCGAGGGTCGACGGCAACGCCTCAAACTTCCTCAAACGCCGAAGACCGCATCGTCATCGCCCTCGCCATCAAAATCGTCAACGCCATCCAGCATCGTTGCCATCACCATTGCTGTCGCAAGTGTCACCGCAATCACCGTCGCAATCACCAACGACATCGCGATCTCCAGCGTCATCGTCATCGTCAGCATCAAAGTCGTCATCAGTATCGTCGTCGTCGTCGTCGTCGTCGTCACCGTCACCGTCGACGTCGCCGTCGCCGTCGCCGTCGCCGTCGCCACCGCCGCCGCCTGTGCTGCCGCCGCTGCCGTCGTCGTCGTCGTCGTCGTCGTCGTCGTCGTCGTCATCGACGTCGTCGTCGTCGTTGTCGTCGTCGTCGTTGTCGTCGTCGTCGTCATCGACGTCGTCGTCGTCGTCGTCGCCGTCACCATCTTCGTCGTCGTCGTCGTCGTCGTCATCGCCGTCGTGGTCGTCGTGGTCGTCGTCGTCGTCGTCGTCGTCGTCGTCGTCGTCGTCGTCATCGTCACTTTTCACTGTCATCGTATCCGTCATCGCGGCCATCATCATCGCCGTCTTCCCCGACTTCCTCGATCCTCGAGGGTCGAGGGCAGCACCTAGCACGACCCGCGGCCTGCCCGACACGCCCGCGGCGGCACCGTGCAGAATGAAAGGAGCGCCCCGCGTCGTCCCCGGCGCGCCGCGGGCCTCGCCGTCGCCGCCGCCTTCGCCGTAGTCATCGCTGCCGCCGCCGTCGCCGTGGACGTCGTCGTCGTCGTCGTCGTCGTCGTCGTCGGAGGAGGAGGAGGAGGAGCAGGATTTGGGCGGCTTTCGGCGCTGCTCGTGTGTTTTTGGCCGGTACTCGCTTGTCTTCGGCGGGATGGAGGGGATGTAGGAGGAAGGAGGAGGGTGAGGAGGAGGGGGAGGAGGAGGAGGAGGAGAAGGAGAAGGAGAAGGAGGGAGGAGGCAGGAGGATGGCAATGATGATAACGATGATGACGATGATGATGAGGAGGAGGAGGAGAGGAGGATGATGATACTGCTGCTGATGATGATGATCGTTGTGCTGATTGTGTTGTTCTTGAGATGATGAGTATAATTTGTTTCTGACTGAATTATCTATGGAGTGGGCTGTGGAGACCAGGTTATGACACGCATGATGATGCTTATTATGACGATGACGATGACGATGATGACGATGATAATGATGATGCTGCTGATGATGATGCTGTTGTTGTTGATTCTTTTGTTGATGATGGTTACCATGTGTTTTTTCTCTGACTGAATTGTCTACGGAGTGGGCTGTGGAGACCAGGTTAGGACACTGCTGAGTGCGAGGGCGCTTTTTCGGCACTGGGCAGGTATCGTACTCGCACGTCGCATCGCCCCGCAATGCGAAGAGAAGAGAAGAGGAGGATGTGCCCAGGACCGGCCTGGTCAGGATTGCTCTAGGTGGACATAGTGCCGCTGATCATCTGAAAACTTTCAGTGTGTTTTTTTTTGTTGTGTCCCACCCTTTTTTCGGCGTCCCAGCCCAGTCGCTGAGCCCCCTCGCAGGGCAGAACACGTAACAACTTCCCTTTTCTTCCTCACTCTCCTCTTGCCTCCTCCTTCCTTTTTCCGATTCTTCTCGTACCTCCTCGTCTTCTTGTTGTGCAGTAGACAGTCTCCTGATTTCTGAGCACAATCTTGACCAGTCTTCATGGCCGCGTCCAGCCGTGGCGGCGGGAGTTTGCACAACGCCAGCAACAAACCGTGATTATTTTTTCGAAAGCATACGACAGCGGCATCTTCCTACTTGTGTTTTTCCTTCCTCTCGCCGCCCAGACCTCGGATGCTTCCATCCAGACACTGCTTGCTCTCTCTTATATGTTAAATGATTGGCTGGGCTTTTGCCCTGTTGTCGCCCGGTGGCCGCTCTCTTCTCATGGCCACCCCGTGGCCGCCCCTGCAGGGATTCTCCGTGGTTTCGCCCGTCGGCCGCCCGTGGCCATCTTGTGGCCACCTCGTGAGTTGGCTGTTTGTAATTCTTGTTGTTGTTTCTATTGTTGTTGTTGTTGCTGCTGCTGTTGTTGTTGTTGTTGTTGTTGTTGTTGTTGTTGTTGTTATTGTTAATGTTGTTGTTGTTGTTGTTGTTGTTGTTGTTGTTGTTGTTGTTGTTGTTGTTGTTGTATCTATTGTTGTTGTTATTGTTGTTGTTGTTGCTGTCAGTTCTGGATGTGATGATCGTCTGCGACTGCTGCTACTTGTGCCAAACTAGTATCACGCTGGCTGATATCACGAGTCATGCCATATGACTGGGGGCGCACCACATAAGAAAGCGGCTTGCCAGGGGGTGCCCCACGGTCGTGTCTCATCTCCCGGTGGGCCCGCAGCGCCCTGGGGCATCTCGCGAAGCCCAGAGTGGACGAAGGATGTGCACCTGGAACTCCTGTCGCAAGAACTCTTATCGTATGTGCTGGCTGTGCTGGTGGACGCCCAGTGCCCGCCCGAGGCGCACCTCGTGAGGGCCCCTGGCGCTGGCTGGCATTTCTTGGTCTTCGTCTTGCGTGTGCCCGTGGGGGCCTCGTGGGTGCCTCGTGCCCGCGCTTGCGTTTCAGGACGCACACGTAGCCAGCACCCCAGAGAAAGCAGCGCATAGACAGTACGCCATAGCTCGCACATTGTGCGCTGCATGACATCCTGGGCTACGTATCTGGCACTGCGTAGGTTGCACCATACATATATATATATATATATATATACATACATATATCTCGCACACCATGGCTTGCAACATGTGAACATGTGCATTGTACGTATGTATGTATGCATGTATGCACGCATGCATGTCTGTCTGTCTGTCTGTCTCTTTGTCTGTCTGTCTTTTCTGTCTGTCTGTATTTATGTATGTATGTAAATATGCAAATATGTAGATGTGCATGTATAGGTATAGGTATATGTACATGCATATGTATATGTATATGTATATGTATATGTATATGTAGATGTATATGTCTATAGGTGTATGTATGTCTGTATGCATGCATGCATGCATGCATGTATGCATGTATTTATGCATGCATGCATGTATGTATGTATGTATGTATGTATGTATGTATGTATGTATGTATGTATGTATGTATGTATGTATGTATATATGTACGTATGTATGTGTGTATGTATGTATGTATGTATGGATGGCATGTGTGTATGTATGTATGTATGGATGGCATCATGTATGTATTTGTGTGTATGTACGTATGTATGCATGCATGTATGCATGTATGTATGCATGCATGTATGTATGTATGCATGTATGTATGTATGTACGTGATGCATGTACGCATGTATACATACATACACATATTCATGTATGAATGTATGTAGGTGTGTACGTACGTATGTATGTATGTATGTATGCATGCATGCATGCATGTATGTATGTATGTATGTATGTATGTATGTATATATATATAAATATACATATGTCAGAGTGAGGGGGCCGACCGGTCATTCATTGTCCCTTGGTGCGTAGCCGAATCGGGAATTGGAGGTGAGGGTTCTGATTGTTGCGTTGTTGTTGTTGCGCCTGGCGCTGTTGTTTTGACAGGGCAAGTCTTCCTGCTCAAGCTGGGCCCCTGGCCCCACAGATTACAACAACAACGGCTCCCGCCTGAGACTTCCTCCGAATTTACTCAGGACCCCCGCTCCTGAGACTTCCTCACGATTTGCTCAGGATCGCTGCTTCCGCCTGTGACTTCCTCGTAATCTAGTCAGGACCCCCGCTCCCATCTGAGACTTCCTCGCACTTTACTCAGGAACGGCACTCCCGCTTGAGACTTCCTCGCAATTGAACCAAGACTTCCTCGCAATTTAATCAAGACCCCCGCTCCCGCCAGAGAATACTTCACATTTTATTCAGGAATTTCGCTCTCGCCTGTGACCCCCATGCAATTTATTCAGAAATCGCGCTTTCGACGCTCAGGAAACACGCTGCGCCAAGGACGCCGTTACACTTTACTTAGTAATCGCGCTCTCGCCATAATCAGGCATCCCGCTTGAATGTCCCACCCGCCCGACCCGCCCGTCAGGGGATCGCCCGCCCGTCGTGGGCTCCCGCCCGAGATTTCCTTCAGGAACGGCGCTTTCGTCCAGGACTTCCTCGAACGTTCACACTCTACCTTCCTGCTCCTCCTCCCTCTCCCTCCTCCCTCCTCCCTCCTCTCCTCCCTTCTCTCTCCCTCCTCTTTTCCCTCATCCTTATGCCTCTCTGCCCTCTCCCCTCTCCCTCCTCTCTCTCCTCCCTTCTCCCTCCCCTCTCCTGCCTCCTCCCTCCCTCTCTCTCTCTCTTTTTTTTTCTTTTTGGTTTTCTCCCTCTCTCTTTTTTTTTGTTTCTCTCTCTCTCTCTCTCCCCTCTCTCTCTCTCTTTCTCTACCTCTCTTATCTGTCTTTCTCTTTCTCTCTCTGCCTCTAATCAACCGCCCCCCTTTCGGCTCCTGCTCTCATGGCGTTTTCCTTCTTCCTTCGTCCCTCCCCTTCCCTTCCTGCCACTCTCCCTCGTTCTCCCCCTCCTCTTTTTGCAGATCCCACACCAATTCCAGTGGCAGGCACATGTACGCCCACGAAGGATTGTCCGCACGTTCAGGTTTGCCCGCCTGTCTAAGCCCGCCGCCCCCCCGCAAAGAGATGTACCCCCCCCAAAGAGGGTGTCATCGAAGACAAAAAAGGCGGGTATCGAGGGTGCGAGGAACCCGTTTTGAATGACACACGGGCAAGTAAGAGCGAACAATCTTAGAGTGATTGTTGTTCTTGTTGTTGTTGGTGTTTCTGTTGTCGTCGTCCCACCCGCGACCCACCCCGCGACCCACCACGCGACCCACCCCGCGACCCACCCCGCGACCCAACCCGCGACCCAACCCGCGACCCACCCGCGACCCACCCCGCGACCCACCCGCGACCCACCCGCGACCTTTCCGCGACCCACCCCGCGACCCACCCCGCGACCCACGCCGCGACCCATCCGCGACCCACCCGCGACCCACCCGCGACCCACCCCGCGACCCACCCGCGACCCACCCCGCGACCCAACCTCAACTGAGGAGAAACCACCCGGACCCGACAATTGACGTTTATTGAACTGCGCGGGGCGTAGGCTAAACAGCCTTGCCCTATTCGATTCATTCCTTGTGTGCGTTTACTAAACGGCTTCGCTTGTCGGGGTGATCTTTGTGGGGTGGATTTTCTGCCGTCTACACCCGCGACCCACCCGCGACCCATCCGCGACCCACCCGCGACCCATTTGCGACCCACCCGCCACCTTCCTACATTGGTTTAGCGAGAAAATCGGCGCCTGCGGCGGGCTCGCTGTGTAATGTGTGAAATTTTGGCGCCTGCGGCGGGCTTCTCCAGAATCTCGCACACTGCCGACGTCCCCACCGCCCCTTCACTCTCATCTGCATTTGCGGGGTGCATGTATGTATACATATATATATACATATATATATATACTCATCTATATACATATAAAGGTGTTCCCTTGTCCCACGGGTACGAGGATGTGTGTATATATATTATGTGTATGTATGTATGTATGTATGTATGTATGTATGTATATGTATGTATGTATGTATGTATGTATGTATGTATGTATGTATGTCTATGTATATTTATGTATGTATATATATATATGT